CGCAGCCCCTCCCCCCCCAGGCTGGACCCCACCCGTGCATGAATTCATGTACCGGGCCTCTAGTTTACAGATAAGAACACTGAGGTTTCCAGAGTTAAATCACTTTCCTAAGATCATATATTTAATGTGATAAAACCATTCAGAACTTCACCTCATGCTCCGGACCTCCTAAGCGTACTCATAATAATCAGAATCATGGTAACCAACCATAACTAAGGTGTGTGGGGCAAGCGCTCTCTGCTGGGCACTGTTTTAAGTGCACCGTGAATAATTAACTTGTTTAATCTTCCCGCAAACCTTTGAGGGTAGTGCCAATGTTACCCCGTTTTACCAATGAGGACACTGACTCACTTGTCCAGTAGGGTGACACAACTAGCGAGTGGCCCTTGAGGTCCAGCCTGGGCAGTGTGGCCCAGAGCCTGCCCTTCAGTACACTGCCCTCGCCTCTCAAGTCCAGAGGAGGAAGGTGGGAAAAGGAAGGTGGTGGGTGACCCCCCCTCCGTTCTCCTAGCATTGTTATTTTTCTAATTTCAGTTATTTAAAAATTACAAAAGAGCATATGTTCACTGAAATATGTCAAACAATACTATATGGAATGAAAAGGGATCATCTTCCCCTTAGTCCACCTCAACGTCAGCTCCCTGCTGTGTGGGAGCCTAGAGGAAATGATGTTACTAAATATATTCCTTCCCAAGGAAGTAAGGTTTGAACTTTTCTGTAGACATAAATAGTCTTTTGAGCTACTTGGAAATAAACAGTACGCTGTCTTTTTAATGATTAACCCTGCACTTGAGCAAGCCTAGTGAAGGCCAACTTTTTTCACACCAGTTGAAAGATCTCTGGAAAACAACAACACAGGTTTGGTTTTTCTAGGTTGTTATTGTTACTTACCGAACTCTATCGGTAAGCTAACCTATGCTGATGTGTATATAGTGAGACTACTAATTTTGCTAATTTAACACTAAATTCTTTCATACATGTGTGAAATAGATGAAAAGTATACAATGCCTATAAAAACCATATTTTTAAATGTCATTTCCCCAATATTTATATCTATACAATAATAAGGAAGTGCTACTAAGGGATTTATATCCAGTTGTGCAGGACTTTAGTGAATAAATGTGTATGTGAATGAATAGCTGTACAAATCACATGCGAGGTGTTGTTTCCTTAGAGCTGTTGGTTAGTGTTAGAATAGCTTGTTGGCACTTAAAACAAGTCTCCTTAACATGGGACCACAAAGATGCCCTCTATCAACTAGGCCAGTGATGGCGAACCCTTTGAGCTCGGCGTGTCAGCATTTTGAAAAACCCTAACTTAACTCTGGTGCAGTGTCACATATAGAATTTTTTTGATATTTGCAACCATAGTAAAACAAAGACTTATATTTTTGATATTTATTTTGTATATTTAAATGCCATTTAACAAAGAATCAACCAA